GTAACATCACTGACCCTTCTTGGACTCTGATTTGATAGTGCTGGGTTCTAGCCAAGCCAGTTACTCCCAGGGGAGTCAGAGTCAGTCCTCAGAGGGGTTCAGGGATGGAGGCCTTAGAGGCTCTGTCTCGCCCCCTCTCCTATCCAAAGCAGGATCCTGCACCTCACTGATCTAACACCCCCTAGCTTCTCGAGCACAGGGACTTATTCATCATTGGCATATCTTCTCTACTCCTTCCCAAACGGCTTGCTTTTTAATTGTTTAATTTGAAACAGCTGCATTTAAATTTTTGGTCTAACTCAGTGGTTCTTCACTGTGGACCACTGTGTCCTCCAGGGGACATTTGGTGATGTCTGGAGACTCTCCTGGTTGTCACAACCTTGAAGGGGAGAGGGTACTACTGTCATCCGGTGGGCGGAGGCCAGAGGTACAGCTAAAAACCTTACAATGAGCAGGACAGCCCCCCACACCAAAGACTGATCACCCCAAATATCAACAGTGCCAAAGCGGAGAAACTCTTTCTCTTGCTCAGAGAGAAAAAAACTCAGTAGTATTAAGCTTTAAAAATTGTTATGGCTTGGCCAGCAAACTGCCACAAGGTCTTTGTTCTGTAATTCATCAATAAATTCATGCTTGCTCTCTTTTCCCCAGCTTCTCTATGGAGAGGTTGCAGAGGTAATTAGGGAACAGTGGGGATGAGAGATGGGGTCACACAGTGCAAAGTACCCAAGTTTTGGAGTCAGATCTGAGCTGATACTCCAGCCTTCATTACTTTAGCTGTGTGCCTTCTGTTAAGTGACTTACCCTCTCTGAGCCTGTTTTTTTCATCTGTAAACTAGGATAACTCCTACCTAGGTAGGTCCAGGCACTCAGTTATTGATATGACTTCATCCTGAGGCGATGGGGAGCCATCAGAGGACATCGTGTGAGCATCTGGGAGGCAAGTCAACTTTGAATGGTCCCTGGGCAGCCTGGAAGGGAGACTACTTACCCTCACACTGTGTTTAATTCCCTCCAGCCCGGTCCGGAAGTCTTGAAGTCTAACTGGAATCACCGCTTCTTAACCTCCATTCTCCCTTTTGTTTAGTTAGATGCCTAGCACCTTATTGCCCCCACAGTGGTCTAAACTGCAGGGAAACAGATAGCGGCTGTAATTTGCATTTCAATCTCCCTGCTGCGAGTCTGTTTCCTCCTTTTTGCCTGGGGGTGGGGACTGAGGCTGTTAAAGGCTTTGGGGTTGCCAGGCCAAAAGCAGAGGTTGCCAAGTTCCAAAAGACATTTCCCGGCCAGGACTTTTGTGTAACACAGTCAGGCTCTAGGAGACGCAGATTTGGGTTATTCTGGAGCTCAGGGCTCCCAAGCTCTTGAGGGGCAGACATGGGCCCATCAGAGAAGGCTTGAAGAGTGAGGAGATGGGCACGTGAGGGCTGAGAGTGGTGGTTTGGGAGCAAAAGACCACTGTGGCGAAGCCAAGCGGATCATGGGGATAGCTGACTGAAGATCAGAGTTCTCCCCTGAATGTTCTAGACTATAGATAAACTAGACAAGGATAAACTCAGGAATTATATACACAGTGCTTCAGAGAGGTGGGGGCATTATACAGAATTAAATTATGTAAATAAAGTGTATTTAAAGGTAATAACATTCCAAGTGCATCACTTCCTAATTATTTTACTACATTTTGCTATTATCTATGCTCTTGGGGTTATTCTCATCTGTATGGTGGAAATACTATATCATGGTCTTCTGCAGGTCACCTCTTCCTGGCAACACCTTCAGTCACATCACACGAGTAGCTTGGAAGTGGTGGTGGTGCGACTGTTTATACCATGGAAATTGGCAAACGCTTCAAATCAAGTCTCTCCGTTGTACCACCCACCTCAGATTGTTTGTAAACATTTACCAGCACACCACTGGGTAGAGGATTCTCAAAATATGACTGATTGAATTTCCCACCAGCCTGGCTGGCAGGGGGGATTTGGAGCAGAATAACCCATTAAGAGAGAAATAAGTAAATGTGACATGTCTTACATCTAATGATTGTGGATAAAATGCATGCTTGCTACAAATACCTAGTCCATATACACTTGGGGGCTCATCTTTCCCTCCTCCCTTAAAGACAGGAGTGCACACCAACTCACAAAGCACCGTCCAGCATACCCCCAAAACGCACCTTCTGGATGGAATAAGACCAGAAGCCCGTGAGGGCAGGGACTTTGTTCACTGCTTCAGCACATCTTCAGACCCCTTCTCAGGCTCAGCAACTCGCCCAGTTTCCCTGGCTTCTCAGTCAGGGTAGTTGAAGCCATGCTGGGGGTGAGGGGTGTGCAGGAGGGATGATGGGAGCACCAGCCAGAAGCCAAGGGTTGCCTCTTCTTAAGCACATGGATCCACTTGGGAGCAGGGAAGGTAGTGTCAGTGGAGGGCAATTGCCTCCCCAGGGCAATGTCCAGAGATATTTTTCATTGTCACAGCTCAGGGGAAGGCTGCCACCGGCATTTGGGCAGGCAGAGGCTAGGACTGCCACTTGAGAACCTCCAGTGCGCAGGACAGCACCCCCTGTGCCCCCCACTTCCCTGTCAGAGGATTATCATGCCCCAAACAACAGCAGTGCCGAGGCTGAGAGACCCTGGGGTTGGGGCACAGTGGGAGAAACTCAGCCTGGGCCAGGTCTGCTTGCGGTTAGCTAGAGCTCCCTCACCCCCCATAACACCGGCCTCATGGGGGCCTTTCGGGCACCTTCTGTGTCCCCCCTGCCCTGTGTGCCTGTGGTGCTGCGCTTGTTCATCTCTATTTATCTCTTGGTTTCCTCTCACTTCCATTGTGCTGTCTGCTCTGGCTGGATCCCTGTGTTCTGAGACAGGAGACAAGCCTTTGGCATTTGGACTCCCTGGGCCCACACTAATCACTCCAGCTGCCTCTGCCTGGGAGCGGGGCCAGGAGGTTGGCAAAGGGGGAGGGTGCAAAGATGGAGGTCTAAAGGTCCCAGTAGCATCCTGTCTTTGCCCCTCGGGCCCTGCTGCCTGCTTGCCAGAGGCCTGGAGCTCCGCCTCCTCCCTACCCCAAGGGCCTGGGTCCTAAGACAGCCTGCCTAAGTGCCCTTGCCCTGCCTACTGACCCCCTTCCTCCTCACCCTACCTCCAGCTCCTTAAATTCCTTCTGTAGGCTAGTCCAGCAGCTGTTAGTAAACAGCTGGGATTGGGCAGCTCCTCATCCCCGGCCCCCTCTGAGCAGTAAGGGACACCAGGATCATGACTTTGGCTGAGCCCAGTACCCTCTGTCCAGTGGCCTCCAACCTGGGCCTGGTTTCCAGGACCCAGATCCCAGCACTCAGAGCCAGGATGTGTTACCCTGAGCTGGGAACCCAGTGTTCAGCATCCGCAGTGCCCATTTCCAGGGCCCAGGCCCCAGCCCTCAGTGCCTGGCCAGAGCTGCCTCCCCTGCACCTCTGCTCACTTCACTTGGCAGACCCTGGAGCTTGGCCTGCTACGTGCTAGGCCAGCAGGGCCCAGGGTGTAAGGACAGGGACCTAGCCGAAAACTCTGGTGGCAGTTTTAATAGCAAATTTGAATGGCTTTTAAAGTAAAAATCATTCATGTGAAGATTAAAAAAAAAAATCAGGGAAAGGACCAACAGTATGGGCAGAGGGAGGAGACAGGTTTGGGCAGGGGATAGGTTTGCCAGATAAAAAACAGATGCCCAGTTAAATTTGAGTTTCAGGTAACAGAGACTTTTTTACTGTAGGTATGTCCCATATCCTATTTGGAACATACTGTACTAAAAAATTATTCATTGTTTATTTGAAATTCCATTTTGGAAGGGTCCATATTTTTATCTCAACCTGGCTTCCCACTAGGGGATAAGCCTTCCCCCTCAGGTTATCTTTCTGTAGCTTTAGGTGGGGAAGCTGACTGTTTCTATCACTGCTCACTCTTGGGTAAAGGGAACTTCAGGAGATCCTATTTTTTAAATTTATATTTTTATATACCTTTTCATTTTCTTTAAGGAATCAGCATTAGTTTACAGTACAAAAAAATCAGATGTTATAGACACTATATCTTGCCTAGATTGTTGCACGCAACCCTTTTGTCCACTCTTTAAAATGATTTTTGACTAATTAATACAGTCACATGCTTCAACATTCCATAGGCACAAAAGAACATGCAATGAAATGTTTCTCCCACCCCTGTCCCTCAGCCACCAGTTCTCTTTCCTACTTCTCTGTGTTTCCTTCCAGGGACCACCTATTGCCACAACTTCATAATTATCTTTGGCCTCCTGTCTTGCCCACCTGCCTTTTTATAGTGGCCAGCTTGTATTTCACCTCCAGTCATGTTACCTCCCAACTAAAAACCTTTCTGTGCTTTTCCAAGCTGTGAGAGACAGAACAAATTTCCCCGCTAACCAGGATACAAGGCACTTGGTGCCTGATTCCTGTCCAGCTTTCAGGAGCACTTGGCAACATCCTTGACTATTTCACATGACACCACAGAAACATGACCTGCCCGCCTATTAGTCTCCCTCACTCACCCACGTGTTCTAGATTCCATGCTCTTGATCATGTTTCTCTCTGTCAGACATTTATTGCACAAAGACAGCATCTATTGTGTGCCAGGCACTTGGGGCTAAGAGGGACACAGTGGAGAACAAAACTGAAATGCCCCTGCTCTTGCGACTCAGGTTCTAGCAGAGTAGATTTAATAGACATTGTCTTGTCAATGGGTTTCAGACCTGGGCAAGTTCACTATGGGTTCAATGTGACCAAAGAAATGACAGTAGAATGTTCTTGGGGTGAAAGGGTTTATACCAAACTTTATTTCCACTGTGGTAGGTCAGTCACTAGATCCTGTCCGCTCAGAGTGAGTCTGCATGCAGCAAGCCGGTCTCTGCCACTGGGCCTCTCTGCCCCCACAGCAGTCTCAGTCTCTGTNACTCTCACTCCCCCTAACCCTTGTAATCACCGATTGATATGGAGATGGACTACTTCTCTCCACCCCTTGGAAACACCTATTGATATGGAGATACATTAAGGCCCGGTGAGAGATTCTGGAAATACTGCAGTTTTACCCACAGTAAATAAAATAAATTGATTCAGGTCTTGGTTGAATCCTGCCCCATTTATGAAATAAAAAGGGATACAAGATATACAGATGAGATACAGTAATCCTGCTCTCAGGTTTCCAGGGACCCACAGCCTCTCAGGGGCAAGGGAGGCTTGCCACAAAGGAGGCACTTGAGCCGGCTCTTAAAGGATAGGCAGGAAAAGCATGAAGGTGTAGAGATGTAAGGTTCACTAGGAGAACACTGTGCTCCCTTAAGGGCGCTTGAAAGGATGTTCTGGTTGACACCCCCACATCCACACACACACCTCGAGTAAACGAGAGGGCAGGGCTTCATGTCAGTTCTCCTCAGTCCTCTCAAGGGAGCAGATCAGTTGGGACTGAGCACTCAATACCAGATGCTTACAGAAGGAAAAGAGGCTCATAGAAGAGGTCCCAGGGAGAGAAGGACGTAGCACCAGCCACCATTCGCTGCTCTTCCCATCGTCGGCTTTGAACAAGTTCCGTTTGCAGTTGGGACATCCTCCTGGGGGTAGTGCGATAGATGAGTCATCAGAAATAGTTATTTGGTCATACGACCAAATATACACTTCCCAGATATATTTGGTCTTCATCCACAGTTGGGGAAAACACTGCAGAGTCTTAAAGGTGAAGTGGGTGTTTTGTCATGTTAATAAGACACTTTTGGACTCCACCCAAGGGCAGAGGCTGGAGTCTGAATCAGCCAATGGCCAATAATTTAGTAAATTGTGACTGTGCAATTAATACCTCACAAAAACCCCTGAGAAGGGCTGATTTGCTCTCTCCTCCCTGGGAGCCTGCTTCTCTGTCCGAGGGAACTTCCATGCTTGGGAAACCAGAACGCCTCCATGTGCCACCAAGCCAGGCCCCAAGCTCCACGTGGATAGAAGCTCCTTTATTTGGGACCTTGCCCTAGGCATCTCTTCATCTAGCTGTTAACTTGAATCCCTTCTAGTATCCTTTATTAAACTGGTAAACGTAAATGTTTTCCTGAGTTCTGTGAGCCACTCTAACAAATTAATCGAACCTAAGGGGAAAGGCCGTGGGAACCTCCAATCTGTAAGGGGTAGGTCAGAAGCCCAGGTTAACTGCCTGGGGCTTGGGACCAGCATTTGGAGTTGGGGGTGGAGGTCAGTCATGTTGGACAGAGCCCTTAACCTGGGGAATCTGGTGCTGTCTCCAGGCAGATAGCATCAAAATTGAGTTCTCTGACCCCTTGCTGGTGTTCGAGAATTGCTTGGGGTTTGCTTGGGGGAAGAACACCCCTCCACTGCCTCCCCCACACATTGGAGTTGGGTCCGGGAACCCAAAAGGAGTTAAGCAGCTCACCCATCACAGGTGGCAGTGAATGTAACATCACTGACCCTTCTTGGACTCTGATTTGATAGTGCTGGGTTCTAGCCAAGCCAGTTACTCCCAGGGGAGTCAGAGTCAGTCCTCAGAGGGGTTCAGGGATGGAGGCCTTAGAGGCTCTGTCTCGCCCCCTCTCCTATCCAAAGCAGGATCCTGCACCTCACTGATCTAACACCCCCTAGCTTCTCGAGCACAGGGACTTATTCATCATTGGCATATCTTCTCTACTCCTTCCCAAACGGCTTGCTTTTTAATTGTTTAATTTGAAACAGCTGCATTTAAATTTTTGGTCTAACTCAGTGGTTCTTCACTGTGGACCACTGTGTCCTCCAGGGGACATTTGGTGATGTCTGGAGACTCTCCTGGTTGTCACAACCTTGAAGGGGAGAGGGTACTACTGTCATCCGGTGGGCGGAGGCCAGAGGTACAGCTAAAAACCTTACAATGAGCAGGACAGCCCCCCACACCAAAGACTGATCACCCCAAATATCAACAGTGCCAAAGCGGAGAAACTCTTTCTCTTGCTCAGAGAGAAAAAAACTCAGTAGTATTAAGCTTTAAAAATTGTTATGGCTTGGCCAGCAAACTGCCACAAGGTCTTTGTTCTGTAATTCATCAATAAATTCATGCTTGCTCTCTTTTCCCCAGCTTCTCTATGGAGAGGTTGCAGAGGTAATTAGGGAACAGTGGGGATGAGAGATGGGGTCACACAGTGCAAAGTACCCAAGTTTTGGAGTCAGATCTGAGCTGATACTCCAGCCTTCATTACTTTAGCTGTGTGCCTTCTGTTAAGTGACTTACCCTCTCTGAGCCTGTTTTTTTCATCTGTAAACTAGGATAACTCCTACCTAGGTAGGTCCAGGCACTCAGTTATTGATATGACTTCATCCTGAGGCGATGGGGAGCCATCAGAGGACATCGTGTGAGCATCTGGGAGGCAAGTCAACTTTGAATGGTCCCTGGGCAGCCTGGAAGGGAGACTACTTACCCTCACACTGTGTTTAATTCCCTCCAGCCCGGTCCGGAAGTCTTGAAGTCTAACTGGAATCACCGCTTCTTAACCTCCATTCTCCCTTTTGTTTAGTTAGATGCCTAGCACCTTATTGCCCCCACAGTGGTCTAAACTGCAGGGAAACAGATAGCGGCTGTAATTTGCATTTCAATCTCCCTGCTGCGAGTCTGTTTCCTCCTTTTTGCCTGGGGGTGGGGACTGAGGCTGTTAAAGGCTTTGGGGTTGCCAGGCCAAAAGCAGAGGTTGCCAAGTTCCAAAAGACATTTCCCGGCCAGGACTTTTGTGTAACACAGTCAGGCTCTAGGAGACGCAGATTTGGGTTATTCTGGAGCTCAGGGCTCCCAAGCTCTTGAGGGGCAGACATGGGCCCATCAGAGAAGGCTTGAAGAGTGAGGAGATGGGCACGTGAGGGCTGAGAGTGGTGGTTTGGGAGCAAAAGACCACTGTGGCGAAGCCAAGCGGATCATGGGGATAGCTGACTGAAGATCAGAGTTCTCCCCTGAATGTTCTAGACTATAGATAAACTAGACAAGGATAAACTCAGGAATTATATACACAGTGCTTCAGAGAGGTGGGGGCATTATACAGAATTAAATTATGTAAATAAAGTGTATTTAAAGGTAATAACATTCCAAGTGCATCACTTCCTAATTATTTTACTACATTTTGCTATTATCTATGCTCTTGGGGTTATTCTCATCTGTATGGTGGAAATACTATATCATGGTCTTCTGCAGGTCACCTCTTCCTGGCAACACCTTCAGTCACATCACACGAGTAGCTTGGAAGTGGTGGTGGTGCGACTGTTTATACCATGGAAATTGGCAAACGCTTCAAATCAAGTCTCTCCGTTGTACCACCCACCTCAGATTGTTTGTAAACATTTACCAGCACACCACTGGGTAGAGGATTCTCAAAATATGACTGATTGAATTTCCCACCAGCCTGGCTGGCAGGGGGGATTTGGAGCAGAATAACCCATTAAGAGAGAAATAAGTAAATGTGACATGTCTTACATCTAATGATTGTGGATAAAATGCATGCTTGCTACAAATACCTAGTCCATATACACTTGGGGGCTCATCTTTCCCTCCTCCCTTAAAGACAGGAGTGCACACCAACTCACAAAGCACCGTCCAGCATACCCCCAAAACGCACCTTCTGGATGGAATAAGACCAGAAGCCCGTGAGGGCAGGGACTTTGTTCACTGCTTCAGCACATCTTCAGACCCCTTCTCAGGCTCAGCAACTCGCCCAGTTTCCCTGGCTTCTCAGTCAGGGTAGTTGAAGCCATGCTGGGGGTGAGGGGTGTGCAGGAGGGATGATGGGAGCACCAGCCAGAAGCCAAGGGTTGCCTCTTCTTAAGCACATGGATCCACTTGGGAGCAGGGAAGGTAGTGTCAGTGGAGGGCAATTGCCTCCCCAGGGCAATGTCCAGAGATATTTTTCATTGTCACAGCTCAGGGGAAGGCTGCCACCGGCATTTGGGCAGGCAGAGGCTAGGACTGCCACTTGAGAACCTCCAGTGCGCAGGACAGCACCCCCTGTGCCCCCCACTTCCCTGTCAGAGGATTATCATGCCCCAAACAACAGCAGTGCCGAGGCTGAGAGACCCTGGGGTTGGGGCACAGTGGGAGAAACTCAGCCTGGGCCAGGTCTGCTTGCGGTTAGCTAGAGCTCCCTCACCCCCCATAACACCGGCCTCATGGGGGCCTTTCGGGCACCTTCTGTGTCCCCCCTGCCCTGTGTGCCTGTGGTGCTGCGCTTGTTCATCTCTATTTATCTCTTGGTTTCCTCTCACTTCCATTGTGCTGTCTGCTCTGGCTGGATCCCTGTGTTCTGAGACAGGAGACAAGCCTTTGGCATTTGGACTCCCTGGGCCCACACTAATCACTCCAGCTGCCTCTGCCTGGGAGCGGGGCCAGGAGGTTGGCAAAGGGGGAGGGTGCAAAGATGGAGGTCTAAAGGTCCCAGTAGCATCCTGTCTTTGCCCCTCGGGCCCTGCTGCCTGCTTGCCAGAGGCCTGGAGCTCCGCCTCCTCCCTACCCCAAGGGCCTGGGTCCTAAGACAGCCTGCCTAAGTGCCCTTGCCCTGCCTACTGACCCCCTTCCTCCTCACCCTACCTCCAGCTCCTTAAATTCCTTCTGTAGGCTAGTCCAGCAGCTGTTAGTAAACAGCTGGGATTGGGCAGCTCCTCATCCCCGGCCCCCTCTGAGCAGTAAGGGACACCAGGATCATGACTTTGGCTGAGCCCAGTACCCTCTGTCCAGTGGCCTCCAACCTGGGCCTGGTTTCCAGGACCCAGATCCCAGCACTCAGAGCCAGGATGTGTTACCCTGAGCTGGGAACCCAGTGTTCAGCATCCGCAGTGCCCATTTCCAGGGCCCAGGCCCCAGCCCTCAGTGCCTGGCCAGAGCTGCCTCCCCTGCACCTCTGCTCACTTCACTTGGCAGACCCTGGAGCTTGGCCTGCTACGTGCTAGGCCAGCAGGGCCCAGGGTGTAAGGACAGGGACCTAGCCGAAAACTCTGGTGGCAGTTTTAATAGCAAATTTGAATGGCTTTTAAAGTAAAAATCATTCATGTGAAGATTAAAAAAAAAAATCAGGGAAAGGACCAACAGTATGGGCAGAGGGAGGAGACAGGTTTGGGCAGGGGATAGGTTTGCCAGATAAAAAACAGATGCCCAGTTAAATTTGAGTTTCAGGTAACAGAGACTTTTTTACTGTAGGTATGTCCCATATCCTATTTGGAACATACTGTACTAAAAAATTATTCATTGTTTATTTGAAATTCCATTTTGGAAGGGTCCATATTTTTATCTCAACCTGGCTTCCCACTAGGGGATAAGCCTTCCCCCTCAGGTTATCTTTCTGTAGCTTTAGGTGGGGAAGCTGACTGTTTCTATCACTGCTCACTCTTGGGTAAAGGGAACTTCAGGAGATCCTATTTTTTAAATTTATATTTTTATATACCTTTTCATTTTCTTTAAGGAATCAGCATTAGTTTACAGTACAAAAAAATCAGATGTTATAGACACTATATCTTGCCTAGATTGTTGCACGCAACCCTTTTGTCCACTCTTTAAAATGATTTTTGACTAATTAATACAGTCACATGCTTCAACATTCCATAGGCACAAAAGAACATGCAATGAAATGTTTCTCCCACCCCTGTCCCTCAGCCACCAGTTCTCTTTCCTACTTCTCTGTGTTTCCTTCCAGGGACCACCTATTGCCACAACTTCATAATTATCTTTGGCCTCCTGTCTTGCCCACCTGCCTTTTTATAGTGGCCAGCTTGTATTTCACCTCCAGTCATGTTACCTCCCAACTAAAAACCTTTCTGTGCTTTTCCAAGCTGTGAGAGACAGAACAAATTTCCCCGCTAACCAGGATACAAGGCACTTGGTGCCTGATTCCTGTCCAGCTTTCAGGAGCACTTGGCAACATCCTTGACTATTTCACATGACACCACAGAAACATGACCTGCCCGCCTATTAGTCTCCCTCACTCACCCACGTGTTCTAGATTCCATGCTCTTGATCATGTTTCTCTCTGTCAGACATTTATTGCACAAAGACAGCATCTATTGTGTGCCAGGCACTTGGGGCTAAGAGGGACACAGTGGAGAACAAAACTGAAATGCCCCTGCTCTTGCGACTCAGGTTCTAGCAGAGTAGATTTAATAGACATTGTCTTGTCAATGGGTTTCAGACCTGGGCAAGTTCACTATGGGTTCAATGTGACCAAAGAAATGACAGTAGAATGTTCTTGGGGTGAAAGGGTTTATACCAAACTTTATTTCCACTGTGGTAGGTCAGTCACTAGATCCTGTCCGCTCAGAGTGAGTCTGCATGCAGCAAGCCGGTCTCTGCCACTGGGCCTCTCTGCCCCCACAGCAGTCTCAGTCTCTGTCCTCGGCGATGCCACCACTCCAGCCTCTGCTCTACTCTCCTACAGTTGTGCCACCATGTCACCCATATCACTGGGCAGGGCTCTTTATACAGAGTCAGTAATGACACATTGCCCATATGTATGTAGTGAGCTAACCAATCAGGGCCAGGTGAGAATCCTGGCCACAAGAACCTTCATTTTATCTGCAGACACATAGTTAATAGTTACAATTAATCATTTATTGGGGTGGAGTGGGGGGCAGGTACAGAGCTCTGGTTAAAAAAGGCCTCCTGGGCTCAGAACCTCACCCCCCCTGCTTTGAGAGAAATCTTCTGCATCCGTGGATGTCTTGATGCCCTTGTCTAGCCTGGATTAATACTTAGTCCATAGGCACACACCTGATCATCTGATCATCTACATTTGCCTTCTTACAGCACTAAACTATGTTTTCTACCTTTATCTTGCATCTACCTACCACTTCAGCATTTTATTAAAAATAAAAATAATAATAATAATAGGAGAAATGTGGGATCAACATATAAATCAAGTACAAAAATCAAACGAATATTCATATTTGACCTGATGGTTTATAGGTCATATTGCATGATCAAAACCGAAAGTTTCTGTGATGAATGCCCTTGTACTGTTCACCATGTAAGAATTTATTCACTATGTAAGAATTCGTTCACCATGTAAGAACTTGTTCGTTATGCTTCAGAAGATTGGAGACTGACGAGAATTAGGCTTGAGATGGATTAATGATTGTACATTGAGCGTTGACCCCCCTATACTGAATTTTATTGTTGTTAACAACCATTTGATCAATAAATATGAGAGATGCCCTCTCAAAAAAAAAAAAAAGTCATTAAAGTACAGAAGTTGACCCAGAAAAAAAAAAAAAAAGGCCTCCTGGAAGAGGTGCTATTCAGAATCTGAACAGTCATCAGCCAACCGTGGGGAGGAAGGCAGGGAATGTTCACACTAAGGAAACAGTTCTTGCAAAAGCCCTGAGAACCTGAGAAGAGTTACAAATCCAGGGTGGTGGGAACACAGAGGAGAGTGAGAGTCACAGGGTGGGAAGGCCCCAGAAAGCCCCTCTATAGAGTGTGCGTTTTATCCTGAGGGCAGCCAGAAGGCTGGGGAGGGATTTAAGCAGGGAAGTGTGTGGGCAGATTAGTGGCTATTGGGCAGAGAGTAGACCTTGCTGATCTTCCTAGGATGGCAGAAATGATAGAAGCTTGGGCTAGTGTGAGGGCACTGGGGACGAAGCCAGAATGACTTCCAAGCTATCCTCTGGCTTGGGAGCCTGCTGGATGCTGGTGATGTTCTCTAGGACAGAGTTTCTGAGTGACTCAATAAATTGATGTTATTTGCAAGATATCCAAGCCCGGACATCCAGAAGACATATACGCAGGCTATCAATGTCAGGAGAGAGCTCTGGACTGGACAGAAACATATTGGGAGTCAGAAACATAAAGATAACAATAAAAGTGTTTTCTAGTACCGGATTAAAAATGGCGGTGTGAGAGGTGAGACAGAGACCTCCTCCTAAGACCACATATAATAAGAAAATATAATTAATACAACTAATCCTGAAAGAGTAACAGGAAAGAAGACTGAGCCAAACTGCATAAAACTGGAGGAAAGAACAGACCCCACAGAACAGGGTAATGTACCAAAGCCATGACCCAGTGGGACCCAAGCCCTCCCTCACCCCAGCTCACCAGCAGGAGGAAGAGAAACAGAGCAGGAAGGGAGTAGAGATCTGGGACTGCTGAACACCCAGCCCTGGAGATCTACTCTGGGAGCATGAAACTGCATTGCATGGTGTTCTGGTGATTAGTGGGGTTGGAAAGCTAAGACAGCGGAATACCTGGAGAGACTGAGATTCCAGCAGCTTGTGGAAAACAGGGATTCATATCCGGCTGATCTGGACTGGCAGTCTGAGAGACTTCCTAAAAGCAAGAAGACTGCTAAAGGGGCAAGGATTGCACAGAGCTTACTCTGCTCACAGATCATGAGGAAGGACAGCTAGACAAAATTGTCTGGGTGCACTCTGCCCAGCAGGTTGGGAACTTTCTCGATCTTCAGGCACTCCATTCCATTGGCTGGCTACGCAGCTCCAAAGCCCCCAATGTGATACGCAGCCTGCTGCGCCTTCCTCCCAGGAAGCCCGCACCTGGCTTGCAAACCGGTAAACCCTGCCCTGGTGTCAGGCCAGCAAGTGGGAATCCCCGCCTACAGCAGCTACAAATGCAAAGCCTAGAGGCTTATACCTGTGAGCTCGGCCCACTGGTTCTGGCAGTGGAGACAGGCATAGCAGCCAGGAAGCAGGAAACAGCTCTTTCCTCCCTCCAGGCACCAGTAACGCTCCCGTGACCCCCAACATTGCATCAAGGGCTGAGCAGCACCAGAGAGTATTGCTTCTGGGCACTAGAGGGCACCATATACAAATATAAAATACCAAAGGAACCTGGTTCAAAG